TAGTTCTAGAGGTGATGTCACCCTTAAAGCTATGGGACTACAACTGCAGTGGCAGGAATCCTGGTGCATTCTAAGAACACCAAGGAATGGCACCATATACTTCCTGTAACCCACACAGTGAGTTTAGGGTTTGGCAATAAGCTCTGATCTCCTTGTGAAAGCTGCATCTTCCAGTGACTATCAGCAGCCACAAAAACTCTTTCTGGGGAGTTTGTGAGAACTTGTTGAGCTGGTCAGAAATTCTGCACATCTGTGTTAAACCATCTCAAATAATAACTTACTCTTAAATAAAACTCAGTATCAAGGCACTGTGTGCTGTAAAGAACAAATTGAGTTTTTATGGTGGGTTTTTTTGGTGTTGCTGAAATACGCCTAGGCAGGAGTTACATTTATTTTAAGATGTCCAGCATGGTTGCCTTAATGCTATCTGAAAACAACCAAAACCACACGGCACCTAGCACACATAACAGCTTCATTCAAATACTGTTCTGGATAACAGGCAGGTCTGCTCTGCTCTTCCAGAACTGAAATTCATCTTAGAACTAAATAAAGTTTGCATTTCACTACTGTAGTCTCAGAGTTGATATGATCTTCTTTTCCTCTTGACTGACCTCAAAATACTGCTAAGAAATATTTTATTTTTTACTAAAAAAAAAAAAAAAAGAAAAAAAAAGGGTTGCTTAACTTTTATCCTAGCGACTAACCTTAACGCCAATACTTGGTTTCACTTTAAAACACCAAGTATTCATGACTCATTCTAATTTACATATATTTTCTTATTTTATTATAAAAACGGCCATTTTCCTTTGCAGAGGCATATATAACATTGTCTCTCTTATTATGTCAAGTAACATTTAATAGCCCTTAGCTGCAACTTGGGACTGTTACAAAATGTGCTTAAGATGAGTCATCTTCATTCATTTATCCTGCAATAGGAAGAATTCATGAATGAGTGATCTGCAGTAATTCAACTCTACAAAGAGAGCCCATTCATACACTTCAAACCTGGTTATCTGAATCACTAATGTAGCTGATTATTTCACTTCAACAGAAGGAAATTTTGGCTTAAGAAAAGTCTCCACAGAAGTCTGAATACTTCCAGTACATCAGAACAGTATCTAAAAGAACTCTACTGAAAATAAGCATTTTGATGTAACACAGAGATATGCAGCCAGATATCATCCTGTCTGTCTAGCAAGAAAATCAGGGTGTCTTTGGAAAGTAAAAGACTGACAAATGGTTTAAATTGAAGTTGTGTTAAAAGAGTGGGCAGAAGTCAGTGCTATCAGACAAACCACTATGCAGTCAAACAAAACGTTACAGAATCAGAAATTGTCCATTGATACTGAGAAGCGTTCATTTGAAGTGATAGTTAAGTCAAAATACACACAGCACAAAGGCAGTTAAAACCTAAGCAGTTAGCTACAGAAGTATAAAACAACGGTGTTTGTTATTTTACAGAAATATGCATGCAATGCGTTAAGAAAGAAATACACTAAGTCATCAAAACTCAAGTCAAAACAAAGGGATGTGATTAACCAAGGAGAAAGCGTCCCTCAACAAGCACTGCTCTTTTCCCAAACTTCAGATTTCAAACTAGGAAATACACACAATGGCCTTTTCATCCAATCTTAACTGCCATGGAAGAGGCACATGTTAAGCAGACTCTTCTCACTTACAGCTCCAGACCATTTACAGCTCTAAAGATCATCTGAGTTATACAGCAAGCAGACAGCAAGTATAGAAACCTCAGTATAAATGCAGTATTTTCTTCAGAAGTTAGGCCACAGAGAAAGCACAGTGTGCTTCTCCATTAATTGGGACTTCACGTTTTCTTCACTGACAATTTAAAGAGTATTCTAAAATATTCACTATATGCCTATCTCCCCTTTCTTCTGGAAAGACAATGACTCTTCTTGTTTTCAAGTTGAGAGATGTACAGAGTGTCCAAAATATGAATAGTAGTTCTCAGAAATAAAAGAATTAGAACAAGAGCACCTCAATTTTTCCAATAGAACAACAAATACACTTAACAATATGGTTAGATTTAAAAACAATCCACACTGACTTCAGTGGACATTGCCATCTCAAAGGTGAAATGACAACAAAGCACAAAGAAGACTTAGAATCATTGAAGGAATGATTTAAGCAAGCTGCACAAACTACTGCACATGTGCACCTGCACTTCTGTGGGGTTCCACCCAGAACTGAATGTAACTAATTGCTAAATGTAGTTTCAAATACAGACTTAAAAAGCAATGCTTGAAAATACTAAGTAAATGAAGTTCCCAGAGCCAGCTCATTTTAGGAAGGAAACTCAGAAACTAAGAGATTTCTTCATATTGTTTTGATAAGGGAAGGTTTTTAATGAAGTATTAGTGAATTTCTTGAAAAAAAAAAACAACACCTATGCCTGTTCTCATTCTTTCTTTGGGTAAATTTTGAGGCATCAACATTAACTACATCAATATACAATGTTGTATATAATCAGTTTTTCTGCAAGCAATGTGCTATATCTTTGGAAAGTAATATGCAGATACACATTCCTAACATATGCAGCATAGCCTCTTTTTACAGAGCACGTCACAGAAAAAGCAGAAAGTGCATTTTTTTTATTGAGCGTTAAGTCAATATGGTCAGGCAAGAATATAAAGATTGGCAAATATTTACAGGAAAACAGACTGGAAAGCAGTATTAAGACACATTAGATGACTAAATCAACATCCCACTAAGAGCTTCTCCACTAAATTTCTGACATTTTTGTTTCTCCATACCTTTTTCTCAAATAAGCATCTCTTCAAATAGTACTCATTATGTATTTCCACATCTCTAGCTTTGAATTGACCTAATAACAGAGTGCACACAGTGAAGAAAATAAAAACAGGAAAATAATGTGAGGTTTCCTTCTTTAGTGCCAATGCAATAGTATACTGTGGCTATAGCCCATTTTGAAGACTGGGCATCCATTTTGTGGCAAAGTAAAGCAGACTACACCTGAGAAGTGTGGCAGAGCAAGAAGAACCATCGATATCACATTAATCTCCACAGCGTGCACTACATGAAATCATTCCCTCTACTCAAATCTAGATACAGTAGATCAGGTAGACATTCCTCATTGTTGCAATACATACCATTAAACAGAATAGAATATCACAGAATATTCTGAGTTGAAAGGGACCCATAAGGATCACTGAATCCAATTCCTGACTCCACTCAGAACCTCCACAAAGTCATACCATAAAATAAAACAAAGTAGTATCACTTGCCAAAGGAGTTTCTTCTTTAAGTCCGAAAGACCCAAGAAGTCATGAAGGTAGAAAGATCTACTGACATTATCATCATAACACAGAAATGTCAAGAGTGGCAAGAATAAACCAGAAAAGGTGCATTCAAGTGAACATGCTTATGTTCATATACACATGAAAACCTAAGTTATGATCTGTTTCAATACCACCTACATATATGCCGTATTATTTTCACACCCTGGGAAGGGGGAAGGACAAGGAGAATGCCCATACAACAAGTTGTGTGCAAAAGCTGCAGAACTTTTCAGGAAAGGTATAAAGATCATATCTGAGCTTATTCTCAGTGAGTACCAGGAACAACTGTTATCTAATTATCTCTTACCTTCATATTTAAAGTGTGAAGAAATAAGCAGTTGAATCACATCACAATAGCAAGGTGTCTATTCAGAAAGCAACAGGATCAAGAAGGATAAAAGCAGTATCACAATAGGTAAGAACTCGAGTTGTAAAATACAATAGCAGTATTTTTGCAGCTCATCACACACACTTCCTACTTTCAAAATGACTTGTGTGAGGAAATTAAACCCGCAGAAACGCAAGGTATGCTTCTCCTCAGCGTTTTGTGCAATAAAGCTAAAATACAATGCCCTATCTGCTGTTGTTGGATTTTTCTTTTTTTTTAATCTTAAATTGCAAGACAAAATTAATTTGTTCCCCTCAGAAACTGCAAAGTAACTATTATACAGATATGTTTCAAATAAGAGTCTACAGAAATGTGAGCTGCAATATTGGCTGATTTGTGGTTAAAGTGAAGCAACAAGACTGTGCAGCTAGCACACCCTTGAAAAATGGCACTAATGAACATGCAGACTTTAAGAATTGTTGATGTAAACTTAATTACAGTCCAAAGCCTCCTTTTAATCAGCCATCCTGTAGCCCAAGGACCCAACTCTGACACTGGAAACAGACTTTTCATCTCAGACTGAAGGGAGGGAAAAGGAGATGCAAACCTCTTGCTTCAACTTCTCAAGACTGCATCTGTTGGTTCTGGGCCAACACACAGAAAACAGAAGGTAGGATTCATTGTCCCAGCAGATAACAAACAACAAAAAAGTGACCTTATATCTGCATATGTGGATGCTCTCTTCTAACAGAGTGAACTGGTATTCTAAACAGCAGCAGTATCTGAGTGCTTGTTTCTTGCAGCTGTAGATTAATTAACTCACAGCTAGTTCAAATCAGAACAGAAAATATCCAAAATGACTCTCATATATTCTTGGATGAAGTGTTTGTACTTGGAAGTGAGATCAAGCTAGAACTTGTGGAGGACGTTGTTTGGCAGGAAAACTACCAGTAGGATAACAGACAACTACTATTAGCATAAGCAAAACAATGACCATATTATAGTAAAGAATAAAAAAAAAAAACCAACATCCCTCAAACCAAATTAACAACTGTAACTTTTAAATTGAGGTCTGTTTAATAAATGAGCTTAATGAAGTTGCTACAATAGTACTTGCCTCTTTTGTCTGCAGACTAAAAATGCCACGTTACTTAATTTCAACTAATACAACAAAAAAGTACACTCCTAGTGGTACTGAAATCTAACCCTAACACAAAATCTTTTAGACTGTTAAATAAAGCTTGTACTTAAAATTACTTTTTTCAGTCTTTTATTTTCAACACCAGAAACTGCCTTTTATTTATCGTGATGCAGAATGTGGAAATATTATATATATATATTATATATTTTACCTGTAATGCACTGAAACTGTCCATCTTCTCTTCTTATTGTAAAAGCTTCCCCTGGATTAACTTGCACAAGAATAACCTTAAAAATAAAAGAGCGTTCACAACCATTACACAGGAATATGTTACAAAAGCCTAGCATGTGTAAAAAAAAGAAATTAACTGCAAGAAAAAAGACTGAATATATTATTTTCCACCTTACATTATCTACTGCCTTCATCCCACAGAGAAAAGAGATTAAAGCAAGAGCAAGTACAGATTTTTTAAACAAACTTTTTCAAAGAACCAAGCAGAGGACAGCAACTAGGGTAAAACAACACCTGTACAAATTTTATTTTCTGGACTGTCCAGTATAAATCAAAACAGCTTAAATTATTTAAACAAATTACATTTAATTTCACATTAATCAAACTACAGAAACTACTACAGAAAGTTTCAGAGGTAGCCCAGGACTCCCAGTGTTTGTATTCCAAATATTACTGCTTGGCAAACAGTTTTTCAGCATAAGGGAAACATCCTGTAATTTCCTTCTTTTCATGATCCAAGCACGTTCGTACATTCATTAATGATAAAGCATTATTAGAACTAATAAGAAAGTAAGCATATCAGATACACAATATGGAACAGTATGAATAGTTTTATTTGCAGAAAGCTGTTGAACCTCTTTCTTCTTTTCTTCATGTGTGCTTGCTGGTTTTTGTTTGTTTTTAGACCATACAAGGTAGAATATGTAAAAAAGCATATGCAGCTGAAAAACTGCAGACAGAAACCAAAGTAAAAGTCCATCACCATTTTAGAGGTCAGAATTCTCCTTTGAAATCTGACTTTGAGATAGTAAGTTTGTAGCTATGAAGAATCCAAACAAGATAAGAACAAAAAAAAAAAAAAATAAAGAACAGGTACATTTCATAGAATCTTTAGAGTCAGAAGGGACCTCTGAAGACCAGCTGGTCCAACTCCCCTGCAGTGAACAGGGGCACCACAACTACATCAGGATGCCAATGGCCTGATCCGGCCTCACACTGAAAGTTTCCAGGGACGGAGCACCAACCACATCACTAGCTTCCCTTCCAGACACCTCTTCAGTCTTGCTTACATGCAACTTCCAAAATCTTGGCCAAAAGGTTTACTCTGTCAAGCTGCTAAAGAAAGTATAATTGGGCTTGCTGCTGCTTCTTTACAAAGAAAATAGAAAGCTTCAGTGCATAAGGAGGAGGGGAACTGATTTTTTACATGTCTGATATTGACAGAACAAGGAAGAATGGTTTTAAACCAAAAGAGGGGAGATTTGAGTTAGATGTTAGGAGCAAATTCTTTACTCAGAGGGCAGTGAGGCCGTGGCACATCTGCCCAGAGAAGCTGTGGGTGCCCCATCCCTGGAGGCACTCAAGGCCAGGTTGGATGGGGCCCTGGGCAGCCTGAGCTGCTGGCTGGCACTGCCCATGGCACAGGGGTTTGAACTGGATGATTTTTAAGGTCTCTTCCAATCTAAGCCATTTTATGATTATATGTCTTTCATTTTCTCATACTGATAATTTTCCCAATCATCTAATGTATCTGAATATATTGCTGGGGGTCGGCCTCTTCTCTCGTGTCATTAGTGATAGGACCAGAGGGAATGGTTTCAAGCTACGGCAGGGGAGATTCAGGCTGGACATGAGGAAGTATTACTTTTCAGAAAGGGTGGTCAGGCACTGGAATGGACTGCCCAGGGAGGTGGTGGAGTCACCGACCCTGGGGGTGTTCAAGGAAAGGCTGGATGTTGTGTTGAGGGACATGGTTTAGTAGGAGCTATTGGGAATAGGTGAACGGTTGGACTGGATGATCTTTTAGGTCTTTTCCAACCTTGGTGATTCTATGAAAATTCAGTAAAAGTTAGCACTTGATGTTCCCTGAACGCAGAAGCAAAATTATAGAAATGAGCTTCAAATACCGCTTGTCTTCAGAATACATTGTATCACCAGAGTTTGTGCTTGTAGCTAGCATTTTAGCAACTGAATACCACTTTCCGACCATGATGGAGGGAACTGAGAATGAACGACTTGCTACAATTTCTTTTCCAGGCTTTCCAAGCAGATGTAACTTCTTGAAGATGTGTATGTAATTCACTTACCTTTTACTCTCTGCTGCAACTTAAGGTTCCAGCTTAAAATTCAGACAGGAATAGAAGTATTTAAAAGCTTGCCATCTGTGTGGGCTGGAAAGTATCCAGATTTGCACAAATGTTTTGGGTTTATACCCTGACTTCTGGGAGGAGCCATTCTGGCAATCAGCACAAATTTCAGCTCCATGTATTGAGTCTCCACAGTACAGAATCAGAGAATCATTAAGGTTGCAAAAGACATCTAAGATCATCTAGTCTAACTGTCAACCCATCACCATGAACCCATGAACTATGTGAAGAAGAAAAGTTGTAAAGCTCTCAAGTTTTAAGCCAATGGGTGGAACAATTAATTCCCTTGATTACTTTCTAGTAAGATGGAATGAGGGATAAATTGCGCTACTCCACTGCTTCCATTTCTTCAGTGCCAATGCCTGGCTTTTGGCAGCCTGGTAACTCCTCTTTTGTTGCTTTGGGAACCTGCTGGTCCTCCTCCTCCAGACCCTTGGCTGCAGGATATCTGGACAGGAGGCTCCAGCTAGAAAAGCTATGTACGTTGGCAATGGGCCAATGGGCACATTGGCACAACTGCAGCAAGTGGGCCACATACCTTCTGATTTCCTTTTGTAGTGTTTTCTCTTGCATGAAAATCTTTGTTGCTCGTTTCACAGTGCCTCTTAAAATATAAAGGCTCAACACCTGGGCATAATGCAGTGGGAGAGAGCACTGCTGGCACTGGCTGTGCCATGTGGCAATGATGGAGTCCATACTGCTTTGCACTTCAGTTTTCAACAGGCTTTCCTGTCTCTGAGAGCATCTGAATACCAATAGGCTGGGAAGACTGGCTGACTTAATGCACGTTAATTAGATGCTCAGGAATAGGAAATAGAGGTGGTTTGCTTTTTTTTCTTTTTTTCCAATGGACCATTAGTCTGTTTGATGTATGATTCTGTACTTAACTGAATGGCTCCTGCTTCCAGCCTTGCTTTTATGTTGTACATTCTCATTTATATTTTTTACAACTGTTTCAATATAGGCTACACTTGCTGCTAAGTGTGCCAAAGAGACTGAATCAGGGCTGAAGTCATTTCAGAAGTTTCAAGAACCACTGGTTTCAAAAGCCATTGTGCTGGGGGGTAAAGTGCATCAATACGACCAGCCCTGGTTCTCTGCCTTAATGCTGCTCTTTAATTTCAGCAGTTTTGTTGAGGCCTGCACATCTCATTGCCCAGCAACACCACCTCCTCAACGCATTGGTGTTATGAGAACAGAAGCCCTCATTTTTCACATCAAATATTCTAGATCTAAGTCTCCTTCCACTGCTGGGCAAAATATTCATGTCAGTTGTGACCAAACGACAAGCTTTAGCAAATTCTGGTGGTTTGGCCTCTTCCTCCATGCCTCACCCTTTTGGTGACAAATACAGTTGCTTTACTCTGCTATGCAAAAGGCTAAAATTGCTACCCAAATGTAAAATGCTGCTATCCAAAGGCTAGCACGCATTATTCTACTCACATTACTGCTAACCGCTGCTATAAAATAACTGCAATAATTTGATACAAAAATCATTTATTGTGTGCCAGCCTCAGTGGGATGCACGTTCAACACAGTTTTCAAATGCCATTTCTCTTACTAGATCAACAAAACACTAATAAAAACTTTACCAGCTCAACAAAATAATGGGAGTTTAAGACACTGAGTCCTTGATATGTGCTCTACAATCCCATAAATGCATTCAAAACACCATCTACTATAAAAAAAAAAATACACCTAATAAAATTTAAAAACATAATTGCTCAGTGCTAACGCAACTTTGACTCAACATATTTTTGTCTCAAGTTCAGACTAACACGACTACTAAGAAATGGAGTATTAGGTCAACAACCAATTTTTTGTCATTTTCACTGGGACTATAAATTGCTTCCTTTGAACTGCTATTTAATAATGATTCATATGACCTCAGTACAGTCCTCAATGAAAAGCAGTACAGAATATCTATTCAGAGGAGATTAGCATACAAGCTGAAAATAATGGAGTAGAGCTACACATTTATCCTCAAAACAATCATTTCATAAATAAAACAAAGTGGCCAGCTCACATGGCTGAAGCTTGGAATACCTGTAACATCAGTTGCTGAAAAGTATTATAGAGTTTTAACAGTGTAATTTCATACTTTTCAGTAGTACTTAATTCATTCTACAAAGGACATTAAAACGAATGAACAATACACTAAGCTCTTCAGTGGTTTAATTAAATCGGTATGGATTACAGAGGTTTCTTAGTGCAACGTTAAAAGCAAACTTTATCCTAAAAAGCACAGAAAGATACTGCAAAAAGGAACAGTCTTTATTAAAACCACTTTTTAGCATGAAATACTTATTTTCCTGAAATTTAAAGGACTTGCCTTGCTGCCTGTCCACTGTCAGTCTAAGATGCATAGCCTGGATTGGCATAGACCAGCTTTCTAATAAAACTCAATTGTGTCACGCATTAGAAAGCTCAATGAGGTTTTACTGAAATCATTGCTCAAACTCAGGCAGCTGCTCAAGCCAAGTAAGAGCATAAGAAATGTCCTCACAGCCTTAGCCGGTGGCTCAGGTCAGTAGCCTATTCTAGTGCAGTGCTTTATCTCCAATACATCAACTGTAGATGCTATATTTAGGGAAAACAAGAGCCTGGGCAGTTTCTGCAGTCCATCTTGCTCACTGTCTGTAAGTTTGCCTAAACTCTTAGGATTTGCTTACACTGCCTTCATAACCTCCTACAGCGAGTTGCTGAAATTCACTTTTAAGCTATCTTAAAAACAAGTGTCCTACTAGCTAAGTGCCTCCAGCTCTTGTACTATGGGATTTGATGAACGGGTTTGAGTAATTTCACCTAACTCCTTTGTTATTTCTTTGACTCAGCAATTTCCTCTCCTTTTCTGCCCAGTTTCCACTCACTGCAGGGTCCCAATATTTTCAACCTTTAAGACAGCTGCT